ACGGCCCCCAGAGGCGAATGCCAACACAAAAAGAAAACCGAGGCAAAGCAAACCTGACCCCAAGGAGCCACAACCACCAAGGAGAAGAAAAACAGGAGAGCACCCTGTCCAAAGCCCAGGACGCCACAGGCAGTGCATAAGCAGGCCGGAGGTGTAACAACGCACGATACAACCTGCGAAACGGCGCAGAAGGAATATCAATACCGAAAGCTAGCAGCAGAAACCAAGGTGCCAGACCCAGGAACGGCCCCAAGCGCCTCTACATCCTCCGCAAGCCAATCCTATGATAGCCCCAGGAGGGAAAAGAAAATGCAGGACCAAAACGAAAATGCCACAAGTGTGCAAGACCACCTCCTCAAGTGCAGCTGACAGGGAAGGAACTCGCATAAGGAGCCGCCCCGCACCAACATCCCGCAGAAGGGCAGGAGCGAAAAGACTCATTAGGAGGAGCAAAATCGCTCCCAGGAAAACTAGGAGCGCCGAGACAGTGTGAAGAGAAGAGATATTCACAAAAGAACAAAAAGGCCAACACCCAGAAGCTGCTGGGAAGAGGACCCACAAGCCCTAGAAAGGACCGGAGGGAAGCTCAACCAAATGACGACAGACGCACCAGAAAACGGGAAGGAGCAAAACAGTCCCGAACCTTCGAGAACAAAAAGAAGCAAACACAAAGGACGAAGGCCCCAAAACCCCGTCGCACCCAAGACCAAAAGTCATGCAGAAACCCCAAGAAGAGGGGGACATGACGGAAGAAGGCCCGTCCCGGAAAAAGGGGCGAAGATCGTAGAAAAGCACCCACCGACAGGACGGAAACAACGGGTACAACGGACAAGGAAACCAAGCCCAGGGAGGGGCCGACGCCCACAAAGCACATGCGGAGAGGGGGAACGGAAAACCCCACACCACAAAACTGCAAGTCCCCCCCCCCCCCCAGAGGGTTAGAAACACCCCGGCGGGGACCAACGGGGCCTGAGGCCTCTCATGTGAGCCCCACCCCAGCCCCGGGAACCCACCCTTGTCTGCTTGCAAGGTGTTTGGTTCTTTCCCAGCTCACCGGGTGCGGGTTCCTGGTGAACTGGCAGAAGTCCTGTCTGGTTCCATCCCAGGTTCGGACCTGGCTGGGTCTTGTTTGGGACTCTCGGACCACTTCCTTGTCTCTACCTCTGGGGTCATTGCTGTGGCTGCGGTCCCGCCTTCAGCTGTTTTTGGTGGGGGAGGGTTGGGGGTCCCGGGTCACTCGGCAGTTGCTCGAGTAGTTGTGTGGGAGTCTGAACTTTGCCGTGCTGGTTTTCCCGCTGGGTTGGGGTTGGCTTCGGCATCTGTTATGGTTCCTTCTGCCTCTCTCGCGACCGCTGTGTTTGGTCTCCGGGGGCCTTGCGTCGGTTGCTGCGTTGCCGGCTTTCTCTTCGAGTTTTTAGGGGTTCAGTGCCTTGGCACCTACCCGAGCCCTCGCTCGATGTGTTCACGGACACGTTGTCTCTCGGCTCGGTTTTTGTGACCAGTGCTCTCCAGGGGCAGTGGGGTCTATCCTTTTATTAGGCTCACAGCATGGTTTGGGAGTTTGCGGTGGTGTGGCTGTCGTTTCGGAAGGTTCGGATCGCTCGGGGTTCGACCATCCTGCTACACTCAGAATGTCATCTGGTGGTTCATTGCCTGAACTGCGGGGGTGCTGTTCGGTCCTTGCCTCTTTGGGGCTGGTCACTTCAAGTGGCTCGTCTGCTGGTTTCTCTGCGTTTGGCTCTCCCTGGTTCATATCCAGGGAGTGTGCAACGTCCTGGCAGATGGCCTGTTTAGGTTTATTCCCCTATTTGCAGAATGGATTGTTGACGCCGACTTCTTCTGTTGGCTCTGCCGGACGTATGGACTCTCGGAAGTAGACATCTTCACTTCGGCGTGGTTGAGGCATCTCCAGATATATGTTACGCCCTTCCCCGGCTGCAAAGCTTTCGTGGTGGACGCCTTTCGGCAGGACTAGTCGAGCTTGGGTTCCCTGTACCTATTCCCCTCCGGACCAGCTGTTGCTTTTAGTTCTGGCACAGTTGGGAGTCTTACCACAGGAGAGTAGTCCTCGTGGCTCCTTGGTGGCCGCCTAGCTTTGGTTTCAGGCGCTGCTTATTCGGTGTCCGAACCAGGGGCGTTTTTCAGCGGCTCTGCCTCTTCCATTGGATCAGGCCTGTCTGGTGCACAGCAGCACACAGTCTTCTTGCCTTTCGACAAACTAACACACTTCGTAGCAATCTAGTTCACACTGCTCCTCCTGCTTCTAATGCTGTTGGTGTCTACTCTATTTCCTGTTCGTCTTGTCCTCTCCAATACTTTGGCGAAACTGGCCATACACTGAATGACAGACTTAAAGAACACAAGAGAAGTGTTAAGTCTGCAGACACTAACAATGCTCTCTTCTGTCATGTGAGGGATTCTAATCATCCTATTGATTGGTCTTCCTCCAAAATAATCTTTCCTGCCTCTACTCTACACAGACGCCGTCTTGTTGAATCGGCTCTAATACACAATGTACCCAACATGAACTTCAGTCCTGGCTTTGTTGCTGTGGACTCTTCCCTTTCACAGTATATACTCAAATGCTCTAATCTTTCTAACAAACGTGACCTAACATAAGCTTACCCTTTTATTTATCTTTCTTTTTGCTTTCTCTCTTCTCTTTCTTTTTCTGTTCATTATTTTCTCTTACGTTCCCTTGCTATCCTCTTCTTATTCCTATCTCCTTCTCATTTGGTGGTTATAATAGGAGCTGCCTCGTATGGGCTAATAGGCCCTCTGCAGTTTTTTCCTACTACTATCCCCTCTTACTACACCTTACCTTGCGCCTCACCTTTCTTTTGCCTATTTATTGCCTGCATCTACTTCCTCATCACAATCGACTTGAGAATGGTCCAGGACAGACCAAAATGTCGTCGTCCCTTCACCTTCTAGTGTGTGGTCTGGTCAACATACTTTAGCCACGTTATTGTGACTCATCGTCTGCACACAGTCTTCTCCTCCACTCTTCGCATCTGGCCTTTTTGACATGGGATTATCACCATTTGTATGGTGATCAGGTGGCTGTGTTGATGGTGTCCCACCTGAGAGCTTTGTCTCAGCGACAGTATGAGGTTTCCTGGCGTTTTTTTTGGCATTTTCTCTCTTCGTAGGTCGTCTTTTATCTCTGATCGGGTTGTCTTGTCCTTTCTTTTTTTACTTTTTCAGGACCGTCATTTGATGTCAAATATGTACAGCGCAGTTAATCCGTTCCCAGAGACGTTACGAAACCCGAAATGAATTTTCCCCATAAGAAATAATGTAAATTGAATTAATCCGTTCCACACCCCCAAAATAATATTAACTAAAAAATACATTTTATACAGAAAACTACTTATAGGTGCCTTACCTTTATGGAGGACTCTTGTTGGCATATGGGGGGGGGGGGCAGGTATTAATGTTTGGAAGGGGTGTCCCCTTCCATTATAACATCAGGCGGTGATGACTTTTCTGGGGGTATACTCTACCTTACATTTTGTCTGCATACATCACGTTGTCATTAAAAAGGTTAACACAACGGCCTGCTATGGCTTTATTTGGGTGACACTTTTCAACAAAACATTGCATTTATTCCCATATTGTACACCATTTCTTAATTGTTGATGAAGGGACATCCTCTACTGCCTCTTCCTTTCCTGAAGATTTGTTATGCTGCCTAGCTAGTTCAACAACCCATGTACCATTTTTATGTTTACGAATTATCACTTCTTTCTGCTCTATGGTCATCCTCACAGTTGTTCTCTTTGGTTGAACTTTACCACTGACCTTCTTTAAACCCTTTGCATGATATATAACAATTACTTTTATGTTCAGAAAATAAAAAAGGCCCCAGAGCAATTAAATTCTTCAGAAAGAATTCAAGCACAGTCATGACCATGGCAGGACACTGGTATACTAATCGAACCTCGCCGTGATGTCAAGTGCTTGGTGGACTTTGACTTGTATAAAAAAAAAAATCTGAATACCATGGCAAACACGAGTACCGAATCAAATTTTTAATATGAATACCGAAAATTACGAGAACTGAGGTTCCACTGTGCTGTCGCCTTGTATTGTGCGGCGCTATGTGCTTCTGTTCGGTCTTCGGTTGCAATTTTTTGTACCATGTGGAGGATCTCTCTTGTTTTGTCTTCCTTGCTGGATGCTAACCTCGGTTGATGGCAGGTATGGAATTCCCCTAAATACATGGGGGATTCCATAGGATATTGCTCCCCTTGCCTCTCTGAGGGGGGCCATGTTCTGACTCGTAGTCCCCTGATAGGCTGAACTCCAATTGACTGATGAACCCGGACTAATAAGCATATATCAGTCCGATAGCTCCAGGGAGCCTCTGGGGCTTACCCAGAAAGTGGCATTTCGTTACTTTCAACGATGTTTTTTTTTTATGAATTGCATCTATGGTTCTCAGTGATGAATCTAGGTTCATCATCAGACAGGAAATAAAGATGGCAGCATTAGTTTTGTACAGGTGAATTATAGATACTCCATAGGTGAGTCATAACTTGTTTATGTGAAGTGTCAACTTTGGTGCTTATATCATTGACCTTGACATACCTCTCTTGTCATAATTTAAATTCTGACCTTAAGCTACATATATGTTAGTGGCATCTGAACGCTGTTCTGGAGCATTCTCAAGACTTGTGCCCACATGTTTACACTTTTTTTCTTGCTAAAAATATTATGGTACCTTTTAATTAAAATTTTTGCCGGTTCTTTGCTTGTATAAAAGACTTCTGTTTATCATTAAATTCATTAAGTTATTATTTTTCAAGATGAGGCTAAGGCATTAAGGCATGGGATTTGATTGATAGCTTGTCAGTGATCAGCAGGAATGTAAGATTTAAATGTTTTTTCTGTTATTACTACTGTACTGTTAATTCAGTACTGATTCCACATATTTATTTTTTTTAACAAAAATGTTTTAATAAATTAATTAGTAATTAAATTGTTTGAAATTACAGGTCACAGACCTTTGGGAATCCTATCGACAGGCAGCTCACGGCAACAAAGTGAAGAGGAAGAGGAAGATGAAGGGGAATATTCTGGAGAGGAGGAGGACTGGCATAAAACTATTATGATTGGCTCAGCCTACCAGGCTCAAGTACCAGAGGGCTTACAAGCATACGGTGCAACTCCTCCCTATGAAAATGAAGACAAACTTCTTTGGGAACCTGGAAAATTAAGTCCTAAACAAGTATGTTGGAAAATGTTGATGGTGTATAGTTTTTCATTTGTTCTCTAGTTTAACCCTTGAAGGGCACAAATCATGATTTTGGTCTAACTGCCTGGAGGGCACTAATCATACATACATGAGTTGCAGATTTAAAATATTTAAAATAGTCCTGCACATACACAGGGCTCAAATTTGCTTCCTCAGGCCTCCAATAACCATACCCTACCTTGAAAAAAAAAAAAAAACACAGTCCCTCACTTTCCTTCTAGGGCCTAAACACTATCGCTCACCCAACATGCGCGCGGTCAACTTAGAGGTCATGGACCCCACGAGCGGGCGGGCAAGCGCGCGGTGATGCCTAAATGTGTATACTCGTTTCAGCTTTCTCATCTTAATTCTCGTGCTACGTCGTTTGTTTTGGTATCATTGTGTTCGCAATTAAATTCCCTACAGGTGTGTATGAATATAATATCCAAAAGCCTGCCGTGACTCCCAACAGCAAAGCCTAAAGTCGGCAGAAGTTACCCGTGAGCGCACAAAATCAGTAAAATGTGTATACTCGTTTCATTTTTCTCACCTTATTTCTCGTGCTACGTCACTCGTTTTGGTATCATTGTGTTCACAATTAAATTCCCTACAGATGTGTATGAATATAATGTACAAAAGCCTGGAGTGCCTCCACGCAGAAAAGCCTAAATTTACCCGTGAACGAGCACCAATTTGTACACTGCAACCAAATGTGTATACTCGTTCAGTTTGATAACATGAATTTTCGTGTTACGTCTTTCATTTTGGTATCAAATTGTTTGCAATAAAAATGCGTATATTTTAAAACTAGTCCCATAATAATAGAGCAATAACTGGAATTTTAACAAATATTTTAATTCTGGAAGCTCATCATCACAAAATTATTGATATCTTTCCAGTGTTCTGACATAAATTTTTGTGTTGCATCTTTCATTTTGGTATCAAATTGTTCGCAATCTAAAGGCGCGCATTTTAAAACTAGTCCCATAATAATAGCACAACAAATAGAATTTTAACAAACATTTTTTTAATTTTGACCAAAAACGTATTTACAATCTTTCAAGTGTTCTGACATTGTTTCATGTTAAATCTTTTATTTTGGCATCACATTGTGCGCACTCTAAAGGCGCTCATTTTGAAACTATCCCGAAGTCGATCGGATAAAAAATTAATTTTATGCAAATATTTTTGTATTGGACGTGAGGAATGTCCAAGGCTAGGACTTTTTCTTTCCAGTATTTTTTTGGCACCTTTGTTGCTTTAGCTTCAATCTATGATTTCATTTTCTAGAGGTTGTAGGTTTCAAGAATGTATGTACTCACCTAGTGTGTGTGTGTGTGTGTGTGTGTCTCCTCGTAGCTCATACCTCTCAGCTCGGGTACTAGTCTGGTGGCAAACCTTTGAACCTTTTCCAGTTTAGTCTTATCCTTGACTAGATATGGACTCCATGCTGGGGCTGCATACTCCAGGATTGGCCTGACATATGTGGTATACAAAGTTCTGAATGATTCTTTACACAAGTTTCTGAATGCCGTTCGTATGTTGGCCAGCCTGGCATATGCCGCTGATGTTATCCGCTTGATATGTGCTGCAGGAGACAGGTCTGGCGTGATATCAACCCCCAAGTCTTTTTCCTTCTCTGACTCCTGAAGAATTTCCTCTCCCAGATGATACCTTGTATCTGGCCTCCTGCTCCCTACACCTATCTTCATTACATTACATTTGGTTGGGTTAAACTCTAACAACCATTTGTTCGACCATTCCTTCAGCTTGTCTAGGTCTTCTTGAAGCCTCAAACAGTCCTCTTCTGTTTTAATCCTTCTCATAATTTTAGCATCGTCCGCAAACATTGAGAGAAATGAATCGATACCCTCCGGGAGATCATTTACATATATCAGAAACAAGATAGGACCGAGTACAGAGCCCTGTGGGACTCCACTGGTGACTTCACGCCAATCGGAGGTCTCACCCCTCACCGTAACTCTCTGCTTCCTATTGCTTAGATACTCCCTTATCCACTGGAGCACCTTACCAGCTACACCTGCCTGTCTCTCCAGCTTATGTACCAGCCTCTTATGCGGTACTGTGTCAAAGGCTTTCCGACAATCCAAGAAAATGCAGTCCGCCCAGCCCTCTCTTTCTTGCTTAATCTGTGTCACCTGATCGTAGAATTCTATCAAGCCTGTAAGGCAAGATTTACCCTCCCTGAATCCATGTTGGCGATTTGTCACGAAGTCCCTTCTCTCCAGATGTGTTACCAGGTTTTTTCTCACGATCTTCTCCATCACCTTGCATGGTATACAAGTCAAGGACACTGGCCTGTAGTTCAGTGCCTCTTGTCTGTCGCCCTTTTTGTATATTGGGACCACATTCGCCGTCTTCCATATTTCTGGTAGGTCTCCCGTCTCTAGTGATTTACTATACACTATGGAGAGTGGCAAGCAAAGTGCCTCTGCACACTCTTTCAGTACCCATGGTGAGATCCCATCTGGACCAACCGCCTTTCTAACATTCAGATCCAGCAGGTGTCTCTTGACCTCCTCTCTCGTAATTTCGAACTCCTCCAAGGCCGCCTGGTTTACCTCCCTTTCTCCTAGCACAGTGACCTCACCCTGTTCTATTGTGAAGACCTCCTGGAACCTCTTGTTGAGTTCCTCACACACCTCTCTGTCATTCTCTGTATACCTGTCCTCGCCTGTTCTAAGTTTCAATACCTGTTCTTTCACTGTTGTTTTCCTTCTGATGTGACTGTGGAGTAGCTTTGGTTCGGTCTTGGCTTTGTTTGCTATATCATTTTCAAAATTTTTCTCTGCTTCTCTTCTCACCCTGACGTACTCATTCCTGGTTCTCTGGTATCTCTCCCTGCTTTCTGGTGTTCTGTTATTCCGGAAGTTCCTCCACGCCTTTTTGTTCAGTTTCTTCGCTTCCATACATGCCCTATTATACCATGGATTCTTCTGTTGCTTCTGATTTTTCCCTTTTGAACCTGTTTACTGCCTCCTGACACTTTTGGGTAACATAGTCCATCATACCCTCGGATTTTGTTCCTTTGCCAGGCCGGGATGAACCTGTTTACTGCCTCCTGTGAACCTGTTTACTGCCTCCTGTGTGTAATTACCTAAGTAATTACCTAAGTGTAGTTACAGGATGAGAGCTACGCTCGTGGTGTCCCGTCTTCCCAGCACTCTTTGTCATATAACGCTTTAAAACTACTGACGGTCTTGGCCTCCACCACCTTCTCCCCTAACTTGTTCCAATCGTCTACCACTCTGTTTGCGAAACTGAATTTTCTTACATTTCTTCGGCATCTGTGTTTAGCTAGTTTATATCTATGACCTCTTGTTCTTGAAGTTCCAGGTCTCAGGAAATCTTCCCTGTCGATTTTATCAATTCCTGTTACTATTTTGTATGTAGTGATCATATCACCTCTTTTTCTTCTGTCTTCTAGTTTTGGCATGTTTAATGCTTCTAACCTCTCCTCGTAGCTCTTACCCTTCAGTTCTGGGAGCCACTTAGTAGCATGTCTTTGCACCTTTTCCAGTTTGTTGATGTGCTTCTTAAGATATTGGCACCACACAACAGCTGCATATTCTAGCTGTGGCCTAACAAAAGTCATGAACAATTTCTTTAGTATATCGCCATCCATGTATTTAAATGCAATTCTGAAGTTAGAAAGCATAGCATAGGCTCCTTGCACAATATTCTTTATGTGGTCCTCAGGTGATAGTTTTCTATCTAGAACCACCCCTAGATCTCTTTCTTTATCAGAATTCTTTAAAGATTTCTCACATAATATATAGGTTGTGTGGGGTCTATGTTCTCCTATTCCAAATTCCATAACATGACATTTATTAACATTAAATTCCATTTGCCAAGTGGTGCTCCATCTACTTATTTTGTCCAGGTCTTCTTGAAGGGCATGACAATCATCTAAATTTCTTATCCTTCCTATTATCTTAGCATCATCAGCAAACATGTTCATATAATTCTGTATACCAACTGGTAGATCATTTATGTACACAATAAACATCACTGGTGCAAGAACTGAACCCTGTGGTACTCCACTTGTGACATTTCTCCATTCCGATACATTGCCTCTGATTACTGCCCTCATTTTTCTATCAGTCAGAAAATTTTTCATCCATGATAGAAGCTTACCTGTCACCCCTCCAATATTTTCCAGTTTCCAGAACAACCTCTTATGTGGAACTCTGTCGAAAGCCTTTTTTAGGTCCAGATAGATGCAGTCAACCCAACCATCTCTTTCCTGTAATATCTCTGTGGCTCGATCATAGAAACTGAGTAAATTCGATACACAGGATCTTCCAGATCGAAAACCATACTGTCTGTCTGATATTATATCATTTCTCTCTAGGTGTTCTACCCATTTAGTTTTGATTAGGTTTTCCAATACTTTCACTATTACACTTGTCAATGATACAGGTCTATAATTAAGGGGGTCTTTCCTGCTGCCATTTTTGTAGATTGGAACTATGTTAGCCTGTTTCCACACGTCTGCTACGATTCCTGTACACAGGGATGCCTGAAAGATCAGGTGAAGTGGAATGCTGAGCTCAGATGCACATTCTCTCAGAACCCATGGTGAAACGCCATCTGGGCCAGCTGCTTTGTTCTTATTTAGCTCCTTGAGCATTTTTTCCACTTTGTCTCTAGACACCTCTATGTGCTCTATGTTGTTCTCTGGAATTCTTATTGTATCTGGTTCCCTAAAGATTTCATTTTGTACAAACCCACTTTGGAACTTTTCGTTTAGTGTTTCACACATTTCCTTTTCATCTTCCATGAATCTCTTTCCCATTTTCAACCTCTGAATATTATCCTTTACCTGCAATTTGTTGTTTATGAATTTATAGAATAGACCTGGTTCTGTTTTACATTTGTCTGCAATCCCTTTTTCAAAATTTCTTTCTGACTCTCTCCTCACTGCCGTGTAGTTGTTTCTCGCATCTTTGTATCGCTGGTATGTTTGGGGG